TTTTTTTTTTTTTTTTTTTTTTTTGGTACTGGGGATAAAACTCGGGATTGTGCTTGCAAGGCAGGCGGCAGAACCACTGAGTTAAATCCCTGGTCCTCTAATAGTCTTATTTGTGCATTGTAGTAGTAAGTCATTTCAAAAGGTCTTTGCAGCGTTTGGGGGTCCTTGTCTTTTTTAATGTAACCATTCTATACTTTGAATTTCATGTCAAATGCTTTTTATGCCTGATTAGAAGAGTTGTCTGTCATCAAACCCCTGCCCTGTGCTTAATTTAGTTTTTGAAGATGAGGTCGTGCCTAGGCTAGCCTCAAACCTCTGGGCTCAAACCATTCCCCTACCTCAGCCTCCAAATAACTAACTAGAGACACAGCACCACTTAGCACAGCATAGGTTTTTTGTTGTTGTTGTTGTTTTTTTTTTTTTTTTTTTTTTTTTTCCGGGGATTGAACTCGGGTCCTTTTGCTTGCAAGGCAGGCCACCGAACCGCTGAGCTAAATTCCCGGCCCTTTTTTTTTTTTTTTTAAGGTAAAAATATTTGTAGTTTACATGTGTCTCATGTGCTATTTTCTTTTTCTTTTTTTTTTTTAATTACATCTTAGTTTACTCAAATGCATCCTGCACTTTTGATGGAAAGTCATTGCAAAGTTTCGTGCAAATTTAACAAACTTTCATGTTAATTTAACCTGTCCTTTAAAGATAGAATTGTTGACTTGATTTGTGGATTACTTTTGAACATGAGAACATTTTTGCCAAGTACAAAACTAGGAATTTCCAGAATGAATATGCTTGTTTTTTGTTCTTAAAGTTCATGAGATATTTTAAAGCTAGTATTCTTAATATTATTAGCTAAAAGTAACCTTATATCTACTGCCATCTTCTCAGAGATAAAAGTAAGAGATGCCTCACCCAGCTCTCAAATGGTGGAGAGGCCAAAAGCATATTTGGTCCCTTACAGCAGAGGATGACTGCTCTGACCCCTGAATTACTGTGCTGTGTGAAGGACCTCTCTTCAACATCGTGTTCTCCTCTCCGTGTGTGCATTATTCACTTTTCTTGGGCCCATGCAGTTCTTGTTTTTGTCTGTTCTAGGAGCTGTGTACCCTTGGTTTCTGTAGAGTATACACATACCGTATACCCTAAACGTGTGGTATGTGGGCTCTCAAAGGACGAAACATTTCTTTTTCTTTCTTCTTTTTTTTGGTCCCGGGACCTTGCACTTGCAAAGCAGGTGGCAGAACCACTGAGCTAAATCCCCAGCCCAATATTTCCTGTTTCTCATGTGATGGGACATGGCAGAAAGCACAGAACAGGCAAAGTACTCCCAGATACAGAAGCAACACTGCTCACATAGGCCTTCATTGAATTAAATGGAAACAGCCTAAGAATGAATTGTGACTCAGAATTTCCCAAATGTTAAAACTTCCATGTGCCTCATTCTAGTTGAGGTTAATAATACTCTGACATGACTCATACGATTTTTTTTTCCAAGACAGGGTTTTGCTATGAGGAAGCATTTCTTACTTGATGAAAGCAATATTCCCTCCTGTCTCTCTCTACAAACTGAAATACTGCTGAAAGAAATGTTATTTTAATTTTACAATTTATCAGGATTTTTTTGCATTAAAATAAATTAATAGCATTAAAAATGCAATGAAGAGTATTGTTTTTCAGGGATCACTGTGATTTGTTTTAGGGCCCATTGGCTGTTTCTTTGTAGGATAATTTACTTAACTCTTTTTTTTTCCCAGTAAAATTGACTTAATTAAACATGTAAAGAGGAGATATAAGCTCTAAGAATGCAGAAAAGCAAAAAACTGTTACATACATAAACCAATCAACACAAAATAGGAATAGTTTTGCCAGTCCATCTTTTAAATTGCAATAAGTAGTATCTTTTTTCCTGATACGAGAATGGAGAATTACATGTGGTCTTAGGCTCTTCTTCCCGTAACTGTTGGGAATGATTTATTTGATGCTTTAAATAACCCTGAAAATAGTAGGAAGGCAGAGCCTGGGGCTTTTTCTTTGTTTCTAGAGAAATATTGGTTGGAAGAAACATTGCTATAATCAATTACTTTTATCCTTTTTGGTAACACATTTTTCCCCCACTTATGTTGTGTAAAAAATATTGTGTAGGAAACTAGTCATTTACTTATCTGTTACATCCTAATAACTTAAAAACCATACCTGTTTGGGTTTTTTTTCTTTAGTGGCTGACAGAACAAATGCAATGTGGTCTGAGGGACGATATGACTATGAAAGGCTTCCAAGAGAACGAGTGCCTCCTCGCAGTGACCCCAGTGTAAGTTCCTCCTACACACAGGATCACGGAGAACCTAATGTGTGAGTTGATCTGAAAGAGCAAAGCTTGGCCTAGGAACATCTTCCAAGTGGCAGTAATTAATTAAAACTTCAGGGTGAAAAATAGGCCAAGCTTGTCTCAAAAGTTAGAAAATAAATGACATTTTATTTATGTAGAAAATCTATATTTTATATTGCTTAAACTTCTACAACAAAGACCTTATATTGAATTTAATTTGTGAAGTTTTAGCATATAAAAGTCAGACTGTGCATTAGTATTTGAGCATCTGCTCTTGCTATTGGCTGTCATGTATTTGTCTCTGTTCTTAAAAATGTTTACAGATTGAACGTATAAAATTGAAAGAGTAGACTTGCATTTTAGAGGAAGCCCAAAGAGGAAGTCTTTAGAGGAAGTCTTCCCGGAGCCCAAACATGTTAGTGTTCTTGTTTAGGGCTCCTGTGGGGCGCTTCCCTTGGTCATTTGGCACGGCCAGTAAGATCGCCTGTGGGTGCAGGCAGGCAGTTTGCCGTCTGTCCTCCTGCTGGTCTCTGTGGCTCTGGGAGTTGGGAATTTTGAGCTAGGCCTTTCTCCTAGGAGTGTGCTGTTTTGCCTACTGTACCCAGTATCCGATCTAGTACTCAACAGGAGCTCAGTACTTATTAAATGAATATAGAACACATCCCCCTCCCTTCCTTTGTCCTTCCGTCCCTATCTCCCTCTTCCCCTTCTTTCTCCCTCTCTCCCTCTCTCCCTCTCTTTCCCCTCCCTCCCTCTCTTCCTTTCTCTTTCCCTCTCTCCCTCTGTCCCTCCCTCTCTCTGCCCCTCTCTCCCCCTCTCCCCCTCTCCACCTCTCCCTGTCTCCCTCTCTCACCTGTGACCACAGCCCTCTAGAGGCTGAGGCAGGAGGATCGAGCGTTGGAGGCCAGTGTGGGCTAAGGAGCAAGGCCCTATTTCAAAAATAAGAAACAGCAGCAGCCACCATTAAGTTGTGCACAGGCCCTTCTAAGCACTAGGCCAGTCAGGTTGAGGCAATGCTGTGTGGAGATATCACAAGTCCGTTACACAGCATCAGAGGGCATAAATACTTGTTTATATGTAAGTTAGTGTTTTCTATTTGCAGTACATTATTTATTCATACAACTCGCTGAAGTGGACAGTGTCTTTTTCAGGGTCATCGTCACTGGCCTAGATCATATAGCTAACATTGGGCTTGATACAAGGTGATTTAAGTTGGAAAAATGAAGAGGCTGTTATATTTCAGGATAGACAGGCTAACTTGTTACCATATGTCATTTTTTCCTGGTTAGTATGTACACTTCATGTTTATAATCAACCCAATGTTTAAAATTTTTTTTGACTTGATAAAATTATTGGACAGTTTTCCTGAAGGGTGAACAAATGATGTAGGTAAATGTGGTGTAGAAGGAGGTGAGGGATGGGAAGAAATTAAATTTTAAATACTTTATTTCAAAGACACAGAAAATAATTTTCTGTTTGGATGTGTCATCAACTGGGCACCCACCTGCAGGGCTGTGTGCTATATTACCCGAGCAGCCCTGTGTGGGAATAGGAAAAGCTGGTGGTTTTATTGATTTGAGATTGCAGGATGAGGCTATGGAGGGTGTGACCGAGAATCACTAAGGTAATGTGCTATGTTGTCTGGGCTGATGAACAGGAGACGAGGAGGAGGGGGAGTGAGTGAGGCTGGGGGTTGAACGCGTCTGTACCCTCAGTTACACCTGAGGCTAAAGTGGAAAGATGGAGTGTTTGAGGCCACCCTGGGCAACTTAGCCACACTCGGAATTTAAAAGGGCCAGATTGTCGTTCAGTAATAAAGCATACCTAGACTCAATCTCTTAGTATCAGCAAGAAAATAAAAACAAAAGCAAAAAAAAAAAATATGCGAAAGGGGTGGAGGATTAAGATTGTGAGGGGTTGAGGGGATAGACTCAGTGATGTTGATGCCACTGTGGGAGAAAGATGGGCAGCTTGTGTGTGTGTGTGTGTGTGTGTGTGTGTGGTACCAGGTATCAAACTCAGAACCTTGCCCTTGTGAGGCAGACAGCAGCATCACTGAGCTAAATCCCTGGCCCTAGGCAGTTGTTATTTTGAGAGCATGGAGTTTCCAAGATAGGAAAGTTCTGTTTGAAGTTGTGTGGTGATGGTAATAGGTGGGTGGTATAAGATATGGAAATTAACAGGGAGAAAATTTATGAAGAGATTTTTGGCTTCATGATTCCCATCAGAAGGCCTCAGTTTTAGCTGCACATTAAAATTGCCTAAAGAAGTTCTTTTTGTTTTGCTGGGGATTGGACCCTGGCCCTTGTGTATGGTAGGCAAGTGCTGTCCACTGAGTCACAACCCTACCATTTAGGGAGCTCTTTCATACTCATATACGGGCCCATTCCCCGTCAGTCATCTCTGTGGGCAGAGAGTGGACCTGAGTTTTACTTAGAATTTCACCAGGAGATTCTTTGTATGCAGAATTAAGAAATACAGATGTAGTTGAAGAGTACAGCACTGCTGATGGTAAGAGCTGAGTTAAAGATGATGGGTGATAGGTTAGTCAGGGAAAATGATATGGGACCGTAACCCCAGCTACTTATGAGTTTGAGACACAAGGAGGATCACAAGTTCAAGGCTAGCCTGGGTAACTAGGCAAGATCCTACCTGAAAATAAGCAAAAAGCCCTGCTAGAACATTTGCCTAGCATGTGTAGTACCCTGGGTTCACTCTGTAGTAGAAGAAAAAGAAAGAAAAAGAGATCGATAATAGAAGTTCTCAGTGAATGAATGTGTTTGATAAAATGTAAGTAAAACCAAACATTTAAGTCTGCTTCTTTTTTTTTTTTATATTACTATTTGCTGTTTGTTATGTGAAACAGGTTTTCGTCCACTCAAAAAAATATTTTCAACAATAATGAGCAGGGAAGGAGATAATGTTTTCATGAGTACTTTTATAACAAGACTAGATGTAACCTGAATTGTCTTTCTCTTTTTTGCGGGGGAGGGTTTGAGACAGGGTCTCACTATGCAGTTGAGACTGCTTTGGAACGCACTACGTAGCCCAGGTTGGTCTAGAACTCACAGCGATCCTCCTGACCTAGCCTCCCAAGTGCTGGGATTATAGGCATGCACCACCACGCCCAGCTAACCTGAATTGTCTCTTAAGATAAATCTCTCTTCTTAAAATTGTCTGGCTCCTTGGTTCCCCCTGAAAGAGGAGCCTTTATTGCTGCTGTTCTTTCTAATATCACAGAGCCTGCCCGCAACTTGTATGGATTCATTCCTCTTTTTGTCCTTTTAATTCCACTCTGTTCCCTCAGCCTCTTCTCATTTATAGGCCTTTCTGTACTTCCACATCCCTCCTCCCAAGGACTCAGGTACTTATGAGCCTTATTTTGTTAGTAATTTCAAGTTCCTTTTCCCTTCAAGACATTGTGTCCTTTGTATTACTCTTGTAAAGTATCAATTTATCTTCTGAGTTGGACCTGCATTTTAATTAAATATAGCATAGATTCTTAGGGTATTTTTGTTGTTGCTGTTGTTAAGTTGATTGATCATACAGATCCCTTCTGAGAATGTTTTTAAAGCTATAATATAAAGATGCACAGGGCTGGGGATTTAGCTCAGTGGTGCTGCTGCCTGCCTCACAAGCACAAGGTCCTGTGTTTGATCTCCAGTACCAATAAATAAATAAGTAAAAACACTAAATACACTAAATTGGAGGAGGCATTGTGTTTAAATGTCAGTGTGAAGTACAAAAAAAACCAATATTTGTGATACAGTTATATGTAATTAAGTAGATATTAGTCAGATTTAGATTTTCATTTGTATAACAATAGTTTACAAAGACGAAAGGTTTGTTTTGGTTTAAAGTTTTGAATGTTTTACTGCATGACAGACAGGATCTGTGGCAAGACAGTGTATCTTTATGGGCACGTGTGCCAGAGCAGAGCTGCTCACTGAGTAGCAAGGGAACATAAGGACAAGAAGGGGACTAGGTCCTACAGTTCTCTGTGAAGTTGGGACCCCCACTGACCTAAAAAACCACCCTGGAGGCCTTACCCACTCTCCTCTCTGCAGAACCAGTGTTTACCACAGGGGCCTCTGGGACACGATAAGGGCCAGACTGTAGCAGTGAGTCATCACCATGAAGAATGGGAGTGGGCCTTCCCTGTATAATGTCTAAATTAGGGGTGTAGTTTGAGATCCCTGAAACAGCTAGCAGTAACATAATCTGAAGACAATAATCTATTTTGTGTTACTGTCTCAGTTAGATACATACTTGTTGTGTTGTTGGTATCTACATTTAGTTGAAAGAGTAATTTTATGTTCACATCTGATTTAAAGGAACTCACTGAATCCTTGGGTTAAAATCTTTGACATTGAAAAAGAAACGTAAAGTTATAATTTTTGACCTGAGATTTAATAAAACTAATTTGTTATTTAAAGTTTATTTTATTTATTTTTTGTGCTTATTTAAAATTTAAATATCTTTGCTTACAAAGTGGAGATTATCAAGGTGGAGATGATCTATAAACTGTACTGCCATATACAAAAATGTTTATAAGCAGAGTTATTTATGAAAGCTTCAGAGTGGCAGCAAATGAATGCCTCACAGCAGGCTAGGTGAATGGTTCCAATATCAGGAAGGAGAGTAAATGGTCTGCTGACATTTGCCAGAGGCATGATACTGAAAGAGGCCAGGCACAGCAGTGTATCCTGTGTTGTGCTTTTATGTAAAGTTCTGGAACACTACAATTGCTAGGAACGTGGTTACTTGTGGGAGTTATGGGAGAGAGTGCCTGGATTTTGTTCTGGTAGGAATGTTCTACTTCTGTAGGAGTGTCTTGATCTGGATGATAATTGTATAGTACTTATCTTTGATTTATCTCCAGCAGTATATTTGTGGTGTGTGTGTGTGTGTGTGTGTGTGTGTGTGTGTATTTTTTTTTTTTTTGTTACCAGGGATCCAACTCAGGACCTTGTGCTTGTGAG